ATCAGGCTGTCCTTGAACTCACAGAGAACTTCCTGCCTCTGCCTCTTGAGTGCTGGGATTAAAGGCATGTACCACCACGCCTGGCCTATATAACCTTATTTTACTTGTCATAGTTTAAAAACATGCTATTTAATATATGTCATAGCATAGATATATGTATGTGTATATACACATATGTATGACATCAATAGCACTCTAATTTCCTGTCTAAATAAAGCTTATCTAGGGCTGGGGATATAGTTCAGTGGTAGAACATTTGCCTATGAGAAAGAAAAGAAAGTTGCTGGGTATGCTACATATCTGTAATTCCAACATTTGGATCACAGAGGCAGGAAGATCAAGACTTGAAGGCCAACTTGGGCTACACAGGGAGACACTGTCTCAAAAAACAAAATAAAACCAAAAACAAAAGAGGGGCTGGAGAGATTGCTCAGCAGATAAAAGCACTTGCTGTTCTTACAGAGGACCTTGATTCAGATTCCCAGCATCCACATTTAGGTAGTTCACAACTACCTGTAATTCCAGTTCTAGGGGATCTGACACCCTCTTTCAGCTTTTGTGGCCACTGCATGCTTGTGGTGCACATATGGACAAGCAGGCATACACACATACACATAATAAAAATGAAATTTAAAAACATTTAAAAAAACAAACCAAGGGGTAGAGAGATGGCTCAGTGGTTAAGAGCACAGTCTTAACCAGATTCAGTTGCCAGTATCCACATGGTGGCTAATAACTATCCATAACTCTAGTTCCAGGGGATCCTATGCCCTCTTATGATGTCCATGGACATTGCACAACATGGGTGCACTTACATACATGCAGACAATACATTTAACACACATAAATCTTTAAAAAAATTTTCCAACACATATATTTTGTCCATTAGGTTCATCTTAGTCTTCTAGTGATGAGAAACAGTATTAGAAACACTGCATAGCACTTTTGTAATGTGCTTGGAGCCATTTAAAAAATATTTTATTTATTATAGCTTATTTTATTTATTTTATTTTATTATTTTTTGTATTGTATTGTATTGTATTGTATTGTGTATTGTATTGTATTACATTGATGTGTATGAGTGTATTGCCTGCATGTAAGTTCACCCATGTCATGAAATGCCCGAGAGGACAGAAGAGGCCGTTGGATTCCCTGGAGCTCCAGTTATGGACAGCTGTTTGCTGCCATTGGGTGCTGGGATTCGAACCCAGGTCTTCTGCAAGAACAACCAGTGTTCTTAATCATTGAGTCATCTCTCCAGCCCCAGGAGCAATTTTAAACAATACAATAATCAACACAAAGCAGAAAAAATGTAAGAAAAAGACTAAATATAACTTACAAAGAAGACTTTTCAATTTTTGTTTTGAGACAGGGTCTCATGTAGCCCAAGATAGCCTTGAACTCATTACATAGCTGAGGATGAGTTTGAATTTTTCTTTCTTTCCTTTTTGGTCTTTTTGAAACAGAGTCTCCTTATAGCCCCAGCTGGCTTGGAACTCAATATGTAGACCAGGCTGGTCTCGAACTCAGAGTTCTGCCTGCCTCTGCCTCCTGAGTGCTGGGACTAAAGTTGTATGCTACCATACCCGGTGAGTTTGAACTCTTGATCCTTTTCCCTCAACCTCCCAAGTGGATTACAGGTGCACAGCATCATGCCTGGCTTAGGGATACTATAGTATGAAAACTGGGACCAGAGCATCATATTGTTTGATCTCAGCTGGAATGTGTGCATCAGGTGACTTAAATTTCTTACCACTTTTTGTCTAGGAATACCTAGAAGTATCACAAGTATTGATTTGCAAAGTATAAATTTTAGTGAATAAGAAAATTTACAGATATTGCAGCTTTAAGCTGGGCATGGTGGTGCACACCTTTAATCCCAGCACTTGGGAGGCAGAGGCAGGCAGATCTCTGTGAGTTCAAGGCCAGCGTGGTCTACATAGTGAGTTCCAGGACAGCTGGGGCTACAAGGAGACCCTGCCTCAAAAAGACCAAAAAAA